TTTAGCGGAGGAAATGGCGGTAGCAGAAATCCGCTAAATAGCGGAATATTGAGACCCATGCGGTACCCTTTGAAACTTTCTCAACTGATCTCAAAATAATGCCAACTTTAAAATTTGATTCTTTTTCAAACTTCCAAGCTTGTGCAGACCTGTAAAGAGGTCATGTAGTTCAAATTTGGCACGCCATATCTCATGTACTTTTTCTTTCGGTTTATGATTGTTACAAGGATATTGTTGTATTTTCTTTTTGTTTCAGTTTGCTGCTCTTGAAAGCATAACTCAGGGAGATCTGATAGACTGGTGCAAAAACACGTTGATTGCTGATGAGCGGAGACAGCTCTCGCTCATGGTGAGAATATAGTCTAAAACAGCCGTATGCACTGCTCACAGCCGAACGCTCCGTATCCCGGACTCTAGCATGGAGATCATCAGGAGAGAATGCGTTGCTGTTTCGGGCTCTTCCTCTCTACAGCTTTTCTGACACACCAAGCCTTCTCACCGATGTGAGGACTCCATGTTAGTCCGACTGTTTTCCTCTGCTACCAACTCTTAGTCTTAGGATTCATTCCAGCCTGCGTCCTCTCGCTTCAACCAGATCCAGTGACTGGTTTTCTCTACTGTCTCCTGAAGGGAGTTTATGAGTTCGTTACTTTTCTTTGCAGTAAGTCCTGCCACTTTCATCCACTTACGAATGCAAGTTGCTATAAAACCTCTGCATTCTACCTCTTCCGAAAAATGTGTTGCTTTCCACCCTGCTCGTCACTTTTTTCGACAAATGCCTCGTATCGGTTTTCTTTCTGCTCATGTGCAGCATAGATATTGTCCTCGTGGGTCACCGTGAGCTCCACCAGGTGCTACTCTTTCTCTTTTTCATCCCATAAGTCTGGCTTTTTTGTAGTCGAAATGGGGAAGAATCTCTCAAAGCCCTTTAAGTCAGCAGCTACCTCCCATGTGCCTCCTCTCTGGTCTTCTATGGCTTCGTTCACTTTCTTTCTGTTGGGAACCTTGTGGAACGAACTCAAACTTGGTTAGTCCATGCTTCTGTAGCTTGGGGGCATATTTTCCTTCTTTCACCTGTTTTGTCGCCATCATGGCGGAGACATCTCTCGTCGCTCATGGTGAGAAATGTGCTGAATGTCTGCCATAGCTTACAGTGGAGTTACTTTTAAATGCCAGTTATTCAGCATCTGCTGGCTTGTGCTTTTTTTTAGCTAAATGTGTGTGGTAACAGTTTGAGATGCTTTTGAATTGATTTTGAGATGCTTTTGAATTGATTTCTCTCTCTCTCTCTCTCTCTGTCTCTCTGTCTCTCTCTGTCTGTTTGTCTCTCTCTCTCTCTCTCTCTCTCTCTCTCTCTCTCTCTCTCTCTCTCTCTCTCTCTCTCTCTCTCTCTCTCTCTCTCTTTCACCCTCTCCCTCTCCCTCTCCCTCCCTTTCCCGCCATATTTAACTTCTGATCCTACAAATTTTCATGAAATTACCTTTTAAGTTCAGATGGGTTTGAATTTGTACACACAAAGGCACACAGAGAGAGAGAGAGAAAGTGAGAGGAGACACGGCTTAAAATACGTCATGTGCACATAAATCATTAACAAAAAGACACTTTCAAACACTGATCGCTCAGCTGAATCTTTTCTCTTGATGTTTGGTAGTCGGGGCTATTAAATAGAGGAACCCTTCGTAAACTGACAGCCCTTTTATACTCTCAACTTCATGCTTGTCCAGATAGATAGTGATATTCTCATAGCAGGCTAAAATACTGTAGATTCTGCAAGGAACGAATCGTAAATTTAGATGAGAATTTCTAAATTCAATTTTGATTATAAGCTTTTATACCCTTATCTGTCTCCATGGTTTAATGCACCCCGCATAATTTAGCTAAATTTGATCATTTTTTGCATAATTTCTGATTATTTTCCTTTATCATTCTTTGTTAAAATTAACAGAATCACATAATTTCACATTTCTGGGCTCAGTTTGCATATATTCAGAATTTTTCTTGCTTAAAACGACGGGGACAGCCTTATTGACACAGTTGAGATAATTAATTAGGTTGTTTGTAGCAGGTGGTATCAACGCACCCAACCATTATACCACAGGCACTTATGATCTGACTCTTGGAGGAATTCGTATGAACCTTCTATAAGAGGAGAACTTAAACAATTCAAAACACTCTTCCCTTTCTGTTTTATGTGCTGTCCACTCTGGGTGGTTGGCAGGTGCTCTGGTGTGGTTTGGTTTGCTCCTTCTTTCATTTCAAACATCTATCGTCCTCATCGCCCCTTCTTCTTTTTTGTTTGTTACTCTGTTGTAACACCTCTAATCTTCTTGCGCTCCAATGACCTTATGCAGTTGCGAGTGCCGTAAAACCTCTACTACAACAAAACTTCTCTCGTCCTTATCTCTCCTTTTGTCCTGTGTTTGTTACTCTCTAGTAATACTCTGTAATCTTTGGCTGGCTCTTGTATGACCTACTTTTGTTACGCAAGTGCAGAAAAACGCTTACTGAGACGAAACAAAAATGTGCTATTCCCTAGGTGGAGGGCTGCTCCAAAGACAAGTGTCAGTTTGCCACTGGGGAGTCCTCCCTCTCCACCATCTCCAGTCTGATCAAGGGTCTGAAGACCTGCATGCCCATGGGACGACCCGGCCGGCCAGACCCCGCCTGTGAGGGGGAGTGTGTGGCGAAGCCTCAGGACCACGGCTCTAACTACATCACAAACCTGTGCCAGTTCAAGAGCCAGCTGAAGGCCTTGCCTCAGCACGTTATTAAAAGTTGAGTTTTGATTAACTGATGACGTTCTAGGGTTAAACCATTGTGGAGTAAGACTTATTTTTGCTCCTACATCTCACATGATCAGTTGAGATAAGACTTGAATAAATGAAAATGGAACTCAAATGTTGCCCAAAAAGAATTGTTGATTTTTGCTAAAGGGAGAGCTAAAAGCCATGGCTCATCATCACGAGTTGATTTTTATTCAACATTTCAGTGGTTCTCAATGGTAAAGATATGTCACAACAATACATATCCTGCGACAAGTCAAAACTTAATTCCCGGAAAGTAAAATTCTACTATTGCCCTATGAAATCAGGCCTGGTTCAAGAGCCAACTCAAAGTTTTATCTCTGTAGGTCACCTGGAGTAGGGTTTATTTATTCCTACTGCTTGATGTAAGACTGTTATGCATCACTTTATAAAATAGGGTGTTTTGTAGTCTTACGCTAAGCTTTTAAATATGTATGACCTGGATCGATAACAACATAACAACAAATATGTATGACCATTTCTGTGCGTTTTATTATCAGTCATGGTAAAACATTCATTAAAAGCACAACTCTAAATCGGACCTTATTGGCAAAAAGCTGGCTCTTTTTCTATGTGTGTATGCCTAAAGAAAGGTACCATAAGTCGGATTTTAACCGTTTTAAGTTGAAGGTTGTACCTACTAGAACATTCAATGCTGAATACAGTGATTTTTGAATTTTTGAGATATCTCAAGTAGTTTTAGAGATACTGCACTGTTTGCGAGGTAGGGTATAAAGATCGTATTTTGAAAAAATTAGCGTTTAAGTTTAGAACACATACAAACTTGAAAAAAATGATGATTCAATTGTTTCTAATGTATTTATTTATTAATGGAAAATTAATTTCCAATTTGGCATTCAGTTGACATCAATATCATGATTAGAATTCAATGATAAAACATAGAGGGGAAGAGAAAACATGCTTGAAGAATAGATTTTAACACCTTTTAAAAGCAGTTTTCATTATCTCTTTAAAAAATACCCTAGTCTCAAAATTATTCAAAACAAAATGTTTAGAAGTCAAATAAATGAAAACCCATTTTACACATTGTTAAAAAATGGTGGAACTATAATTTTTTATGGAAACACATTTTGGTAAAACGAAAAGTGATTTTTTGTCCTTATCAGCCTGTAGCTCAAAATGATCTTTGGAGACTTTTGGTACCTTTCTTTAGGCACACACACATTTCATCAAAATTGAACATTGCATACTGCATGGCCTTTGACACATCAGTGTCGTCCGTCTCAAGTCTCAAAAACACAAATATCTTGCATCAAACACACAATGTTCTCTGATTCTTTCTCCCCGCTGGGATTATTATCATGAATTGGATATACTTTTTAAAATTTGGACATCTTTCTTATTTTCAGAGAACTGTTATATTTTCATAAAATGAATATCTGTACAAAATTATACCCTTCTTTTTCGGTGATAACAAATAAAATTAAAGATTTAAACAAATGTTTCCTGTTGTTCAGTTGTGTTATGACATACTTGTTCATCATGCTTGGCTTGCGTCTTCTCACAATATCCTTCCATCATCATGCTTTTAGCGAAAAGGGTACAAGAAAGAAACTAACTGTCTGAGTTTCATAATGCTGTTAATTGCCTCTATTGTGGATAACTGTCATGATGATAGTTTGCTTGTTTTCTGCTCGTCAGTTGGCCACTTGAGAGTTGGAATCGGAAAAGTCTCTTCGACTAAAGATGAGTGTGTTGCACCTATTAAAAACACCGTTGAAGAAATTAAAAGTCAAGGGACGTATGTGTACCCTAGTTGTGTTCCAGGACAAAATTCTAATCTATTAGATTTCTAGTCCTTTCTCAAAACAAAACTGCTATCTACAGTCGGCTACGGATGAGTTGATGTTGTTGGGGGAGTGAAAAAAAGATCCACTCATCCGAAGTTCACTGTTGGAACCTGAAGCTGAGACTAGTTTTTGAATAAATTAGAATACAAATTTTGGAAGAACGCCTTTTTTAAATGGCTATTCCTACAAAACGCCTTTTTATCTAGAAACTTCTGTAAATAAGAAAAAGGCATTTTGTCAAGTGTACGGCAGAAGAGCTCCTCTCACCAAATTTTAAGCCTCGTCTGTCCGTTTCAGACATCGTACGATCAAAATGGCGTCATGTATTGCGCTTATCTCACGGTTCACTGAACTGTCAACGTAATCAAACAGAAAAACTAGATGTGGGGGGGTTGGCGGGTGCTCTGGTGTGGTTTGCTCCTTCTTTTCTATTAAACAACTGTCACCTTTATCTCTCCTCCTTTTATTTTTATGTTTGCTACTCTCTTGTAACACCTCTAATCTTCAGCACTTATATGACCATATTATGTTGCAAGTGCAGTAAAACTCTTATTAACCCCATCCATGCGTCTTGTTTAACTATCGTATCCATACGAAGTGGGGAATTCTGTGCCACCACTTTCTAAAGCGGAAATTTACTCGTTAATCCGATCTGTACGCTTTGCATTGCAGTCTGTCAAAATTATTTTTTGAGTAAAATACTGTTAAAAGAGATCTTCTTACTAGAAGTATTCTAAAATGTGAAGAATACATGTACAACCCGGGGGGGGGGGGGGGGTATAAAATGACCCTGTGGCTTACGGATAGGGTTAAATCTAAGAAAAATCGGATAAAGAAGTTTGCTTGAACTATCATGGGAAACAACTCACTTCTACCTGTACAACATTGATACAACACAGTTATCTCTCTTTGACCAGGACTGCGCTTCTTCTTCTTGTCATCCTCAATGAAGCTGCGTGCTTGACGTTTTCGCTTAACCCTACCTGTACGGCCTGGGGTCATTTTGTGCCCCCGGAGTTGTATTCTTCACATTTTGAATACATGTATATCTGACGGCTCTCTCAGTTATGTCTCTCAGTTATTTGGGGATCAAATTTTACCAAATTTCACACATATAACTAACATTGTAGAGAGTCTTCAAATCTACAAACAAATTTCAGAAGAGAAAAAAGTTTTGTTGGTATGGAGACGACGGTCATATTGGGTTTTGTTGACACACTCTCTTATACAGTTGAGACCTCAATAATTTTTTTAAAAATAATGGTTATTTTGCACGTATTTTAGCAAACAATAGTTCTACAAAATCGTCTGTTAGAATTTTTTTAATGATTTTTCTTTCGTTGTAGTATAGGCCTAATATTTAGGGTTGCACACAAAAAAAATCATAGGAAGTCCACACTCCAGACAACCCCAACAAAAATGTATTCCTTTTATTGTCAAGTCAACAAATCATTCTATAGTGTTACATCTTCTCTCCACTCTGTGAAAATTTCATCAAGATCGGATGAAAAATAGTGGGTGGGTGGTTGGCGGGTGCTCTGCTGTGGTTTGCTCCTTCTTTCCTATCAAACATCTATCGTCCTGCTCTCTCGTCCTTTTTGTGTTTGTTACTTCCTTGTACATGAAACACCTCTAATCTTCTGCACTTATACGACCTTATTGTGTTGCAAGTGCCGTAAAACACTACTAAAAAATAGTGGAGTTGTTTTAAAAAAAAAAAAAAAAAGTACTGTAGGCCTATAGAGAGAACACATAATAAAGAAAAAAAGAGACTTTATAAGGATAATATGTGGTGACTAACGTGCTCAATGTCTGACAAAATAAGGCTTTATGGGGTTCTCATGCAGTGGAATAGTTGTAAGTGGGTGGTTGGCGGGTGCTCTGGTCTGGTGTGGTTTGCTTCTTCTTTCCTATCAAACATCTATTCTCTTTATTTCCCCTCATTCTTTTATACGTTTGTTACTCTCTTGTAACACCTCTAATCTTCGGCTTTTATATGTGTTGCAAGTGCCGTAAAACTAATAGGGGCCTACTTAACTAAAACAAACGAATAGTTGTAAGAGAGCGTGGAGGACCCAAAAATGCGTACGTCTCAAAATCCATAATGTTTGACCCTACTTTTCCGATCCAGCTGAACTTTACTTTTCCCATCAAGAAATAATGTTGACCTGAATTTGGACTTTCAGGGTGTAGTCCTTC